GAGGAGGGGGGAGGAGGATGGGGGAGGAGGAGGAGGGGGAGGAGGAGGAAGAGGAGGAGGAGGATGAGGAGGAGGATGAGGAGGGGGGGGAGGAAGATGAGTTGGAGGAGGAGGGGGGGGAGGGTGTTCAGGAAAGCCACAAGCATTTCATATGCCTTTTTCGGGGTCTCCTCGAATTTTTCTGCGCGCCTCTTGGGTCGCCTTGGGACGTCTTGGGTGTCTCTGGGGAGCCTCTTGGGGCCTCTTGGGGCTCTTTTTGGAACCGCCTTAAGGGGCATCTTGGGGGCCTCTTGGGGCCTCTTGGGGGGCCGTCTTGGGGCGCCCTTGGAAACGTCGGGGGCCATCTTGGTGCCATCGTGGAGGCGATCGATCAACGGATTGAGTACATTCGAGTCCCCTCCATCAGGATGCCCCACTGCAGCCAAACCTTGGTACAATCAGTGATTTTGGTTTTCTCACCGAGGCTTCCTCTGGCGTCTTGGGTGCCTCTGGGGGTCCTCAAGGGGGTCTGTTGGAAGCTTCTTGGGGGCATCTTGGGGGCATCTTGTGGGCGGGTCGGCGGCTGGCCTCTTTGGGGTCTCCTGGGCACCTCTTGGGGCTGTCTTGGAGCACCCTCGGGAGCCCCTGGGGCCGTCTTGGGGCCATCCTGGAGGAGGTCGATCAAATGAGGAGGGCTCCTTTAGATCCCCCCCCAACGAGGCCAACATGTGCTCAGGACCTTCTGTAAAACATGATGCTGGCCTCATGCCGAGGCCTCTTGGGGCGTCTTGGATGCCTCTTGGGGTCGCTTGCGAGCCTCGTGGGGGCATCTTGAGGGTCTCTTGGGGGCATCGTGGAGGCCTCTTGGGACCTCTTGGAGCCTCCTGGGCAGCTCTTTGGGCTCTCTTGGGGCGCTCATGGTAGCCTCGGAGGCCATCTTGGGGCCATCTTGGAGGTGATCTATCAACGATGGCGGAGGTTCCCATTTAGCTTTGTCCCCCCCCCCCCAGGAGGTCAGCATCAATGATTTTGATTTTCTCGCCGAGGCCATCTTGGACGCGCCACCCCTTCTGAAAGTCCCCGTCCAGAACCAGGGGGAGGGGGTAGGGGGAGGGACTAACCCTTCCCCGAAGGGGAAGACGGGGGTTGGAACATGAAGCGGTCTAAACCACTCACGCCCTAAAGGGCTGGTGGGATTTGCCCCCCCCCCCCCCCCCACACACACACACCCACACCCAAACCCTTGATATATTATAGTGTCCCAGTAGTGAGTTCGTAGTGCTGAGAACTCAAGTGGACCTGAGGACACCCCACTTCGTGCTTCGAGGTACGGTGGCAGACATATGCATTAATGGCCTTCCCGCCACCGTGCCCAGGGTCGTGGGCAAGAGGCCTCTTGGATGTCTCTTGGAGCCTCTCGGAGGCTTCTCGGGGGCCTCTTAGAGGCCTCGTTGCGCACATATTTATACAGGACGGAAGCTGTTCCGAGGTGCTAGCGGGACGCGACGCAGCGAACCGCCCCCCCGCCCCGGTAGAATCCTACCGCGGGCGGTGTTTGGAGCCCCAGATCTGGTTGCCGCCCAGTTTTCTTGAGTTTATCTCGGAGTGAACATCATATTCGCGTGAATATTGTGCTTGACATTAGATCCGGGGGAATCGAGTTAAGATCCACGCAGGCGGAAATCATTTCCACCCCAACATCATTCAGATCTGCGTATCCTAACATCAGACCGCTTGAAATCCCATCCACGCGCCGATACTTTCCGATGGCACTCTGGACGATTGTCCGTTTCAGGGCCAATACGAAGCTTTTTTCGTCCTGGGGATGCATACGTACACCAAAGCTGTTTTGGCAGCCGGTCCAGGCGACATAG